ACGAGTAGACTCAAAAAGTGACGATTTGGGGGAGGGACGGCACGTTCTTGAACGCATCCGTTTAGGGTGACACTAAAAATCTCACTCTTATCCTATTGTAATCACGCCTGATTACATCTCCGAAACATGGCGTGTGTTGATGATCCGATATTTCTTTGAAAATGTGAGGTACTTTTCAGAGTTAACTAAATCAACAGAATTGCAGTTTATTCAAACACAACAGTAATCACCCATAAAGACCTGCGACCTCTCCGACTTATTTCTGTAGTCAAGTGGAAACTGGATCACGCGCATGCACACACACACGTGCACACACTTCAGTATCACAAGCGTCAATTCCACAAGTGGAAATTTTTCAGCCGATACGGTACACAGGCCATTTTTGACGCCATGTTTCAGAGATGTAATCAGGCGTGATTACAATAGGATGAGAGTGAGATTTTTAGTGTCGCCCTAAACAGATGCGTTCAAGAGCGTGCCGTCCCTCCCCCAAATCGTCACTTTTTGAGTCTACTCGTGTTTTCCAGACTAAGTGTTTGTTCCAACCAGGCAGGTGATCACAACTATGAATCTTTACTCTTTCCTCCATTGTAGCTATTTGACATTATAAGTCTTATTTCCACATTGGAGTGCTAATGTGTGATTTCATATAACTGCTGTATTGTTTTTTTCTTCTCGTAACACTTCTCCGCTCACAGGACCCCATTTTCCAAGGATCTTCCTGAGGGTTGGCCCCTGAATTATGGCCAACCTGGCAGTCCTGCCCACCACTGGCTCCCCTCCTCCAGGAAGCCTGGCCACCTGTGGATACCCTGGTTCCTGCACCAACTCCCTTTCCCCAAAACAACAGCAACTTGAAACAGGAAGCGGCTTCAACAGAAAGATGAAAAGCACCTCTCGTACGTCTTACTCGGCCCTCTCCTGGCGAGGCGGATTCTCCTGCGGCCCTCTCGTCTGACACAGGTGAACACTGAGAAAATAGTGAGGGCGGCTGTCTTCTCGGGGGGACCCTGTGCCTGATAAGGACACCAGCCGCCTGTTGCCTCTGTGAGCCTCCTCTGCTCTACCCAGAGGACACGCGAGCATTGGCGCGTTCTGTTGTTGGCTCGGTGGGACAGCGTCTCTCACGCCTGGATCCTGGTTTGTGCATTCGTTTCTTTCCTTTTCCTGAGGAATGTTCTGCACCACCAACCAGCACTTTTAGGTGTTTGCGTTGTGCTGCAGAGTTGGAAAGAGGTGGGACAGGCCCAAGGAGCATTTGTGGAGAGGTGTGTAAGGGGAGGGATGCTGGGGGCCTGGAGCAGGTGAGGCAAGCAATAGAAGGAGGGAGGCGTTGGAGAAATGTCCCCATGCACTGTACGTCACTACTCACGGGAGTGAAAACTACCAGCAAAGAATCTGGGTGAGTTTGAAATGACTTTCTGGTGGCCGAGCTGATGCTTGATCCTCCGAAATCAGGCTCTGAGGGTTACAGCTTCAACACTGAACCAGTTCAACGCTCAGACGTTTTTGCCTCCTTGGATACTAACCCCATGCCCTGCTGAACCCAGATTCTGTGGAATCTCTGCACCTGTCTCAGCCTCATTGTCTTCATCGACACCGCCACCCTTCCCGCGTCCATCATCTTCCATCTGGACAGGGAGAGGGGACTTCTTTTTTTTTAATTAAAAAAAATGTTTTTAATGTTTGTTTATTTTTGACAGAGAGAGAAAGAGAGAGAGAGAGAGAGAGAGCATGAGCGGGGAGGGGCAGAGAGAGAGAGGGAGATACAGAATCCGAAGCAGGTTCCAGGCCCTGAGCTGTCAGCACAGAGCCCGACCCGGGGCTCGAACTCACGAAACGTGAGATCATGACCTGAGCCCAAGTCCGACGCTTAACCGACTGAGCCACCCAGGCTCCCCAGGGAGAGTGGCCTTCTAACTGTTGTGCGGCTCTTCTACTCTGCCTTCCTTGATGTACCTGCTCCAGACCTGCCAAGGTCACCTTCCAAAATCACTGGTGTGAGACGCTCCTTTCCATGTTTTAAGACTGTTGGCTCCTTGTTGCCTAGGGGTCATGTGAAAACTCCTCCCCATGGCCAATGAATTCCTTCACCCTGGGCTCGCCAGGCTTTCCAGCCTCATCCTTGTGGCCCCCCTGCACACCCTCATCCCCTTCCAGCCACCCCTTTCTCCAGGTGTCTTGATGCCATGCTTTCCAGTCCCGA